AAGGGGCAGACAGAAGCAAGGCAGAGCCAGGGCCAAGTGTAAGCTGTCACAGCTCGTGAAGCACCTTGAGTAGAACAGGGTTTTCTGCCCCTATTCCTTCTGTTCTCTCATATTCCTCCTCCTGCTGCCCATCTCATGCGAAAGATTCAAGTTCTAAGATGCATCAAGTCTGGCTTTGCCTGTCTCAGAGCCAGTCTTCCTCCACCAAGCCTGGGATCCAGTATGGATGAATGTGCTCTTCTGATGTGGGTCCCAACTAGTTTTTCAAATTTGTATTTATTTGTTTGTTTGTTTGTTTAAATGTAGAGATACAGCAAGACGTACACACACACACACCACATACACACAAAGAGATCTTCCATCTGCTGATTCACTCCCAAATACCCCAACTTGCTAGGTCTGAACCAGGCTGAAGCCAGGAGCCAGGAGCTTCTTTTGGGTTTCTCGTGTGGGTGGCCAAGCCCCAAGCCCTAGGGCCATACTCTGTTGCTTTCCTAGGCACATTACCAGGGAGCTGAATAGAAAGTGCTGCAATTGAGACTCCAGCCCATGCTCATACGGGATGCTGGCAGGACATAGCTTAATCCCCTGAGACTCAATGCCTGTCCCCACCCTGAGGCTTTTAGTGCTGTTTTTCTTTCAATTTGTTTTTAATTGTCTCTAAGATTACTCCTAGTTCCCAGTAGAGAACTGTAGCAGTGTGGAGATGGATGAGCAAGTAGCCACAATGGCTGGAGCTGAACCAACCCAAAGGAACGAGTCAGGAACTTTTTCTGGGTCTCCCACTCAGGTGCAGGGTCCCAAGGCTTTGGGCCATCCTCGACTGCTTTCCCAGGCCACAAGCAGGGAGCTGGAAGGAAAGTGGAGCAGCTGAGACATGAACTGGCTCCCATGAGATGCCAGTGGTTGCAAGGCAAGAATTTAGACACTAAGCTGTAAGCCAGGCCCAGTTTATTCTTGAAAACATTCTTCTTTCCAGTCCAATGGGATACTGAATTGGAAACAGGCTGTATCTACTGATTTGTTCCAATCATCTTTTTTTAAAGAAATACTATTAATACTCTTATCCCCATATAAATGTATTTTGCTTTCTTAATGGGCATTGCTGATATATAGAAAAGCCTATCAAATAGTTTTGTATAATATGCTATAACCTAAGCTGGTACAGCTTCCCCTGCATTTTGGCATGAGATTTGATCTGGTTTATTGGCCAAAAGAAAATTCATTCCACAGGCAAGCTGTAAAAAGAATCATTTATGAGAGATTTCATAGGGAAAACTGATGAGAGAAGTATGTATGTTGCAGAACTGAATTCAGTTCACTACAAAAAAAAAAAAAATCACCAGAACTGCCTTGCCCTCAACAAACCAAAATGATCTTCAAGCTGTTTATTCTTCTTACATTTCGTCCCTCTATCGCCAGTCCTCAACTTTTTCTATTTTTTCTTTATCAGGACAATGTATTCAGTCTAGGCTTGTGTTGTCCACAACACTTAACCACTTCAAGTGGTTGAATGCCCTTTGTTTCAGCCCAGGTGTCCAAGGAAACAGGCTTGGGTCATTAGAGTTCTACTGCAGACAGACTCTGCAAAGTCGTACTGGGAACAGTGTGTGGGAGGGAGAACAGAGAGGGAATGTATGTGCTTGGATGTCACTCCCAGTTCCTTTGCTTTGTGGTCAAAGTTTACCCCACAGGCATCATTGACGCCCCCACACTTGTAGTTTGCAATGCCTGTCCCTCTGGCAGCTGTCTGGGAAGACAAATCCCACACTTCATGGGCTGGGAAGTAGTCTCCCATCTCCATCTTAAAGTGATGGGAAGAACCAGAAAGTCCTGTATGTGGCCTATTGTCCTGGCTGTATGGTAACATCCAAAGGTGAAAATGACCTATTCCCAGGCAAGGGTCAAGTTCACCTGGTAATGGGAGGAGACATCTGTGCTAGTTGATTGCCCCTATCCAAAGGAAAAATAAAACGCATCCTTCAATGACAATTAGGTGGTTCAGCCTGAAGTGGACACCTAGGCTGAAGTCCCCTGGAGAAGGGAGATGGGGAGTAGGGAAAGCAGAGCGCGAAGGCACTGTCTTCTTTGATGTTCACATTTCGAAGAGATGGCTCCCAAGCCCTTAAAAAAGACATTCCTGGGCTATAGTAACATTACAGTTTTCCTTTTTTAAAAAAAAAAAAAATGCTTATTTGTTTGAAAGGCAGCATTACAGAAAGGGACAGAGAAACAACTTCCTTCTGCTGATTCACTCCCCAAAAGGCTGCAATGGCCAGCACTGGGCAAGGTCAAAGCCAGGAACCTGAAAGTCCATCCTGGTCTCCCTTGTGGGTGGCAGAAGCCAAAGGACTGTACCCTTTTTCTCTGCCTTCCCAGGAGCATTAGCTGGGAATTGGGTTGGGAGTGGAACAGCTGGAGCTCAAACTAGCACAAATACGGGATGCCAGTGTCACAGGCAGCAGCTTAACGTGCAAAAATATCAGCCCCGATATCATAAATTTTCTAATTGTAACAGCCTCTGTTTCTGTCTTTCTCTGGGTAAAGACAGTTTGTAGTTGCCTAAATATACCACAAATCCATAATGATATGCAAAGTGAATCAATTATGGCAATAGAATGAATTTTAGGGTCTATTTCAGTTGCAAAATCTGTAGATGGTCACATCCTTAGATAAACCAATGTAGAACCTATGCACTTCTTCTCGTATTTTAAATGATCTCAAGATTGCTTACAATGCATAACAAGGTTAATGCTTTGCTCATCATCATTGTACTGTATATAGCGAGCTTGCAGCACATACAGCATGGATATGCTGACAAAGGGATGACTTGAATATCAGGATTGATAGAAGAGGACGTCACGATTTCAACAGGGGCTAGTATCGTAGGATCCAGGCAAAAGGTGCAATTTCAAAATTCCTGCCTCAGCTGACCCCCTGCTTGTGATCTCTGACTTTTCTCCACCCCATGCCTTCTTATTATCTCATTGAGGTCCAAACTACCAGAGGTTGTCCTGTTAGGAGCTATTCCGAAATCCAACCCCCTCCTTGCCTCTTCTGTGCAGCATCTGAGGGCTGGCTTTGGGAAGGATGCCAATAGCTCTTGCTGGTCCACCATGCTCATCTAGAACCACCTATGCCTTTACACTTTAATAAGCACCTTAAGGGCTCAACCAGATAGCCTAGTGATTAAATCTTCACCTTGCAACTTCCAGAATCCCTTTTGGGTGCCGGTTCATGTCCCGGCTGCTCCACTTCCCATCCAGCTCCCTGCTTGTGGCCTGGGAAAGCAGTCAAGGATGGCCCAAAGCCTTGGGATCCTGCACCTGAGTGGGAGACCTGGAAGAAGTTCCTGGCTCCTGGCTTCGGATTGGCGCAGCACCAGCCATTGCGGTCACTTGGGGAGTGAGTCATCGGATAGTCATCCCTGCTTTCCATCCAGCTCCCTGCTTGTGCCCTGAGAAAAGCTGTTGACGGTAGCTCAAAGCCTTGGGACTCTGCACCTGTGTGGGAGACCCAGAGGAAGCTCCCGGCTTCAGATCGGCTCAGCTCTGGCCATTGCGCTCACTTGGGGAGTGAATCAACAGATGGAAGATCTTCCTCTTTGTCTCTTCTCCTCTCGTATATCTGATTTTCCAATAAAAATAAATAAATCTTTTTTTTAAAAAGAGGGTGAATTGGGCCCGGTGCAGTGGCGCAAGTGGTTAAGGTCCTCGCCTTGCACGCCTGGGATCCTATATGGGCGCCGGTTCTATCCCGGCAGCCCCGCTTCCCTTCCTGCTCCCTGCCTGTGGCCCAGGAAAGCAGTTGCCCCCCCCCCCCAAAAAAAGCAGGACGGCCCAAAGCTTTGGGACCCTGCACCCGAGTGGGAGACCCGGAAGAGGCTCCTGGCTTCTGGCTCCTGGCATAGCATCGACCGTTGCGCTCACTTAGGAAGTGAATCATCGGACGGAAGATCTTCCTCTCTGTCTCTCCTCTCTGTATATCCGCCTTTCCAATAAAAAAAATAATAATAAAAATAAATCTTTAAAAAAAAGAGGGTGAATTCTCTCTCCTTTCTATTTCTTTTTCAAATAAATAAAATAAGTAAACAAAAAATGTTAAAGGAGAAATTATTTCTTTTTCCTTTTTTCTGCTATACCAGGAGTCTGCTGGCTTTCTTAACTCTGTTCAAGTGTGTGTGTATGTGTGTGTGTGTGTGTGTGTGTGTGTGTGTGTTGGGGCGGGGTTGAAGGTCCACAAATAATCTGTAAGTGAACAAGCATGATTGTATGCCAGTAAATTGGTTTTACAGATAATACAACTGGGATTTTCTACAATTTCCAATGATCACAAAGTAGTCTTCATTTTTTTTTTTCGTTTCAAAATACACTCATTATTCTTTGGCTCAAGCGCCATAGAACACTAGGCAGCAGATTGTAGTTGACCCACACGTGCTACAGGGTCAAATCCGGGATGCCACTGTGTGCTTCACTCCCTGCCACATTCCCAGGACCTACAACATGCATGACTATCTCCCCGGCTCATGGCATCCCAGAAGTCCCCCACAGATGATTTGTGAAGCCAGTCAGTGAAGAAGTGAAGTTAATGACCACAAGAGAGTGAACAGTTCTAATCCCAGGGCCCCAGTTTACCCCTGACAGGACTTAGATGTCCTCACCCCACCCCAAGAAGCTGTAGAAAATCAAAAGGCTGAGGCCAGCATTGTCTTTCAGTATCTTTATTCCAACATTAATCCTACTAATAGAAAGCTTTATCTAGGAGGAAGCAGAGAGGACTGGACTACGCAAGGATTTCCTAAGGATCTGGCTGTCTTTTTCCCACTGTGGCATTAGGGGTGGGGCTCAGATTAGAGCCATGATCCACACTCAGCATTTTTGCAGAGGAGGCATGCCTCTGCCCCCCACCTTAGGCAGCCACAGTCATGGGAAGCAGCCACTGTCACACGCCAGGCTGAAGAGGGTCCCTGGAGAGTGCAGAGGGACCCAAGCCAGACGTGGTCAGGGTCCAGACTTGTGGCTGTGGCCCACAGCCCAGTTGGTAAACATAAAGCCCAGGCTGAATGCCATGAAGAAGACCCCCAGGATACCAAAGCACAGGGCCTGCAGGGTGAGGGAGAGAGAAGATGGAGCTGGCTGGGACCTCCCACTCCAGCTCTTCCTGACCCTTTGTGTTCTCCTCTTTCCTTAAAGCCACACTTTTTATATGACCGAAACCGCTCGGGAAGTCTCCCTTCCATCCTTCTTCTTAAACAGCCTCAGTCTCAGAGCCCAGTGCAATGGCTCAATTAGCTAATCCTCCCCCTGCAAGTGCTGAAATTCCATATGTGCCATTTTGTGCATCAGCTGTTCCACTTCCCATCCAGCTCCTTGCTTGTGGCCTAGAAAAGCAGTGGGGGATGGCCCAAAGCCTTGGGACCCTGCACCCATGTGGGAGACCCAGAAGAAGCTCCTGGCTTCAGATCAGCTCATCTCCAGGCATTGCAGCCACTTAGAGAGTGAACCAGCAGTTAGATGAAAGATCCCCCCCACCTCCCTGTCTCACCTTCTCCCTGTTAACCTTACTTTAAAATAAAAATGCACAAATTAAAAAGAGAAAAAAAAAAAGGGCTCAATCTCCTTTACAACAGTCTGGAGAATTCCTCCTTCTGGAATGCTCTGTCTCCCCAGAGACATGCTCTGCTTATTCTGCTCCTCCTTAGGATAACCTTTTCCATTCTTCCAGACCATACCTTCCCTTCCCTCCACCCCCCTCTGGCTCTGAGAATGTCCCTCCCATATCCAAGGTATCCAGCAGCAGCAAATTTTCTTATCCTCCAAATGCCATGTCTTTTCCTAACACCCTTTAGAATGTTCACCTGGATCTTGGGCCAGGAGAAGGGGGGCTCCGTGTCAGAGCGTACAATGCGGAGGTAGAAGATGCTGGGAAGGATGAAGATGAGGCTGGGAGCAGAGGTTGACCCTGGAGGACAAGAACAATGTGGACGAGTCAGCCTGAGTTTGGGTACAGAAGCTAATTTAGGTGGGATCTGGGACTGGAGGCAGGGACAGGGAAGGGAGAACACCAACCAATAACAGCAAAAATATCCCGGATGGTCGGCACACAGATGACAAGGACATTGACCAAAACCAGCAGGATCAGGGCTATGAGCACATGTCGTAACCAGCTGAAGCTTTTTCTTGGGAAGAGTAGCTGCTGCAGAGCCCAGCGGATCTGTGGCCAAAGCAGGACAGCAAAGGGTTCAGAGTTCAAGTGTTGCCCCTCTTCAACATGATTCTTCATCTTTAGCTCCACCCTCTATATGAGATCCCTATAGGCTGTTCCCATTTCTGCCTCTACCCTTTGTTCTGCCGTTCCTGTTTCTTTGTCCCAGCTGATCATCTAGCTATGCTGTACCCTTGAACTGATCATTCTCACCTCGTTCTTCTGATGAGCCATCATCTGTGCTGCCTCCCTCCCTGATCTTACCACATATATCTCCACTTCAGTCTGACCATCTACTTTCTCCTTCTCTGTCCATCTGGTAGTGCTGCCTTTCCTGTCTGTCCATCTCTGCTTCCATCCCATCCATCCACTTGTAGCTCCACTTCCCATCCAAACTTGCAAGCCTACATGCTCGACCCATCCATCACCCATATTCCCACCCACGCCATGGGCCTGCCCTTGCCCCCCACACACAGGAAACAGAACGACAGGCACGGTGAGAGTCACAGCCAGAAGCACGGCCAGGCGCACGCAGAGGATGAGCAGGTCATTCTGGCTGTACATGTGCAGCATCTCTGCTCCCACGCTGTCTAAAGTATGACATGGGAGACATGGAACACAGGATTTAGAGAGAGCTTCCAGGACTAATTCCGCAATCCACGACTCCCAGGACTCCTCCCATGGCCCAGCAGCCCTGACCCCGTCGGCTCTACTCACTGTAGAAGGTTAGGTATCCAAAGGTGGCCGTGAGAGCGTACATGAAAAACATGGCCCCGATGGACACATTGGCCACGGCTTGCATCCTGCGCTGTGTGGGCCTAATGTATAGTGGTGATGGAACTGTCAAGTCTAGACCTCTGAACTTGGCCTAGTTCCGCAAAACCAAACCCCATCCCACTCTCTAGAGTTTCCTTTTCCCAAAACAACATTGAGTTGGTACATATTAGGTTGCCTGTCTCTTCTTCCCCTGGGTGACTAGCCAAGTGACACCTCCCTCTGCCCATCCATATCTCATCCCATTTAGCCACTGCCTCAGCCCTCTCTGGCCATCCACATCACCCCCCCACACACACTGTTCTCATCTTTGCCATGCACACCACCCCCTCCCAACTCATTTCCTGCACTCTACCTCCCAACTCTGTCCATACATACTCATACTGAATGCTAAAATAATAGACCACTTAAGCTCCAGTCAGGAATTATGTACTCTGAGTCCCTCAAGAACCCCCAGTCATGCACAAAGCTCCAGTCCCCAGATCACTGTAAGCAAGCACTTGGGGGACACTGTGACTGTCCACCCTGTACCTGGCTGGCTCATCATGCATGACTACTCGCCTATCCACTCACCGACAGAGCTCTGTGTAGATGGGCAGCACCTCCGGGTGGCAGACAAAGGCAAAAGCCATGATGGGGATTGTGTAGGACATCTGCACACCAGAGTTCACAGAAGGTTAGAGAAGCCCCTCCACATTCCCCCAGCCCTGCTTTACCCTCTACATCATACACACACCCACATATACACACATGCGCGCACACACACATGGCAATCCTTGATGTCCAATACCTGACCAGTCCACTCTGTCCAGGATGCCCTATAGCACAGAGCCAGTGGGTTTGAGAGTGGCATGAGCTCCCACTGGCCTGTACACTCACCTGAGAGCCAACCGTAAACATCTGGGCCTCACAGGTATAGTTGAAAATTTGGATGGGGATTTCTAGGGAATCTTCATTCTGCACCACTGTCCCACTGAAGACTATAGCACAGCCAATCTGGAATTTCTTATAGATGACCTGAGTGAGAAGAGGAGAGTGACAAAACAAGGTCACAGGACTCTGTCCCAAAGTCCTGAACTCTGTCTTTGCACTTTGTCACGTCTTCTCTGACTCACCGAAATGAGGAAAAACAGCATGCAGGACAGAGAGAGACCGCTGGTATACCCCAGGTAACCTACAAAAGGCAACACATAGAGCCTCATAAATCAAAAGATGCCCCCCACTATCTACAGCAAATCTCCCAAATCCCTAGTCTGGCCTTCAGGACCTCTCCCCCACCCCAACAACCACAAAGCCTCCAAATAGGCTAGCTCCCTTGGTGTTCTACACCTTGACGATGGAGGTTTTCTCCGTGGAGCTCCTTCCACCTACCATTGTTCTCCCATGAGCACCCCAGGAAACTTCTTACCCAACTGCCTCATGAGAGTCAGGGGAAGGATGATCACCACACTGACAATGATGACGAGAAAGTTGCCCTTCAAGTACCAGTACCTAGGGAGACAGAAAGACATAAGTGACTGATCGCGGCCAAAGAATACTATTGGGGGGTGGGTACGAGGGTGCAGCCACACACAAAATATCAGTCAGCTAGCCAGCCAGCCGGAAAGATGAGCTGACATTTCATCTCGAAGAAGTCATTCAGGTGTCCGCAGTGACAAATGGCACAAGGAGCACTGACAGAAACGGTCGGCTGATTGCGAGGCAGCACCAGCGGTTTGCAGATGGGAACATGCACGCAAGTAGATAAAAGCCACTGGCAGATGTGCCTTCAGCACATGTACTCAGCTGACCAAACACCCCTAAGCCATCACCTTCAGTGTTCTAATGAGCCCAGTGCCACAACATGTCTGACATATAGTTGGAGTGAGCCATGATCCTGGCAGGTACAAGTAGAATGAGAGCAAACTGATCTATGGTTGAATAAGTTGATAGAAAGGCAGGCATGGACACAAAGTCAGTTAAGTCCAAAACACATGTTTGAATAGCTCAAGGTTCATGGAGCATCTGAAAGTAGCTAGGCTGATATGGCCACACACACCAAGACAGACTGAAATACAAATGGAGTGAGGTAGCTGACCACATTGTTGAGATCAAATCCAAAGAAATGGGTGGGGGGGAGGTGGAAATAGACATTGTGGTGTAGTAGGTTAAACCACTGATTGCAACACTGACATCCCACAATGGAGTGCTGATTTGAATCCTAGCTGTTCAAGTGGCTGAATCCTTGTTAATGTTGCAGACATTTGGAAAATGAAGCAGTGATCGGAGATCTCTCTCTCTCTCTCTCTCTCTCTCTCTCCCTCTCCCTCTCACACAGATTAAAATAAAAATAATAAACATTTTTAGAAGAGAAACACTGGGATTCTCTATAGATTTCAGAGGAAGACATGCGGGCAAGACAGTCAGAGACTACAGAATCTGCTAATAACCAGTTCATTCATTCAAAAGAATCTCACTGCATGCTTACTATTTTCTGGGTTGTCACACATTCTCTCTATCTGTTATACATAGTTATTCACAGGCAAACCAACAAAGCACCATTGGACCTATTTTTACAGTAGGGGCAGAATATAATAGACATGCTAAGTCACATGTCAGCCCCCTGGATGTTCTCAGAATCAAGTCAAAGATCTAAAAGAATAAACACAAATAACAAAAAGAAAATTCAGACCAGTCATAGAGGAGTGGGTATTTGCCCTAACAGATAAAATTATGGCTTAAATAATTGGGCCCCTGCCACCCATGTGGGAGACCTGGGTTGGGTCCCAGGCTCCCAAGTTTGTGCCATTGCAGACATTTGTGCAGTGAACCCGTGAATGCCAGCTTTCTCTCTAGAGCTCTCCCCAGCCCCGAATAAATAAGTTTTAAGATGATGTGAAACAGAAGCTTATCCACGTCAGGCAACGTCCACATGATCACAGTGAGGCTCAGCCACTAGACACCCAGTGCCAGTATTAACCCACAGATGCACCTAGATGCTTGCAGTTGGAGCAAAAACACATTGCACTATACACACATACACACACACACACACACACACACACATATAGCTGGAGTCCCTTCAGACACAAGCAAACACACAGATCCACAGCACAATGAATCCATAATCAAATGCAAAGACAAATGCACAGACCAGAGCAGTCACACATCTATGGCTGTAGCCATAATACAGAGAGTACGTATGGACAGATGTTGGGGATTACACGTAGATAACCAGAGAGAATTTGCCAGAACAAGTGTCACCAAACCAGAGATATAGTCAACTTGGCACACACACAGAGCAAGCCATGGGATAGTACCTGCGCGCGCGCACACACACACACACACTCACACATCCGTGTCACTGGAGATTACTATCCTCTCACAGCCAGACTGAATTAGCAAGGTGGATAGACTCCGAAACAGTATCATAGAATCAGCAGGATACGCAAAGTCAGACCGACTAAGTGTCAGAATTGGAATCACACTGAACATAACCCACTTGCAGTCAATCACACAGCCAGCCAGGGAATCTGCCAGCAAAACAGTCACTTGAAGTAAATCCACAGTCAGAATCCACATCTACTGGATATGCATGGGCATACACAGTCAACATCAGAACACAGTACAAGAGCAATCACAGACTCAGCACATGGTTTCCTGGGCTGCTATGGTCAAAGCCACTATCACACACATTGCTGGCATCACCATGCACAGGAGTCAGTCTGAGCCAACTGGCCAGCCCAACAGCCTCAAGCTAGACACAGAGTTAAAGTCACCAGCTGTAGGCCACAAGCAGACATGGGGGTCTGTGCACCAGCCAAGAGGTGTTGCTCACTCACCCCTCAGGGTTCATACGCAGGAAGGTGCCGATAACCAGGGGGAGTTCGGATTTGATGATGAACAGGTAACTGGACATGGCTGGTACAAATGGGGTAGGTGTAAGAAGAAGGATTCCCCTCACTCCCTTACCCTTTCTTGCCAGCCAGACTAGGGACAAACCCCCTCAACCCACCCTCTTCTCCCAGCTGGCCTCTACCTCCCAAGAGTCCTTACCCCCAATGTTGTGCAGACAGATGACAATGGCCACCAGTATCTTCCCCACAGGCCCAAATGCCCTCTGTCCCAGAAGTTCATAGGCTCGTAGGCCAGAGGGTGGGAACAAAGAAAAAAGGGTTGTGGGTATAGAAAGCCAAAGCAAGGATGGGGAATGGAGATGGTGGGCAGAGGGTCTAGGAGCCAGGAACTCATGGCTTGGGAGGGGTGGGGCTGCTTGAGAATGACTGGAGGTGAGGCTTAAGTAGGGTTTATCTTGTAGTAGAGCCTGGGGGGGGGGGGGGGCTCTGAGACCAGGTAATGGTAGCTGGGGAGAAGAATGAAGGCTTGAGGAAGGAAGTAGGGGTCTTGGAGCCAGCACTAAAGCCATGGTGGGCATTGAGTCTTGGGGCTGAGAAATGGGTATCTCAGAGTTGTGGGGAGTAAAGGTGCAGTGGAGTAGTCCAAGACCAGAGAGGATTTGACTAACGTGGAGTCTCATAGCCAGGTCAAGGGATGGAGGTCAAGAATCCGGAACTCCAGAGAAAGTCTGGGGGTCAGGCTCAGAGGTCAGCAGAAGGGGTTGGAGTTCAAAAAAGTGCATTGTGAGATCTAGGGTACCATGGGATGTGGGATTTGGGTGGTCCATGCAGAGTATGGGCTTAAGGTCTGAGGTCTGGATCCAGGTGTAGGTTGAGGTCTGGATCTGGGATCTAGAGTCTTGGGTCCCAAGGGTGAGGGCTGGACCTGGGATCCAGGCTCTTAGTCTTACCTACAACACTGGAGCAGGTCAGCAGGAGGTGGATGGAGTATGAAGACAGAAGTGCAATGCATATCAGCAGGACTCTGGGGCACAGAGCACAATTCAGACATGATCCCAGACCTTCCACTCGCCCCACAACGTTTGTGCGTCCCTACCCCCACCTCCAGGTCACCTATGCACTCACAGGAAGAAGATGATGCCCGTGTGGGACATGGCGTAAGCCAGCCCTAGGATGCCGCTGCCCATGATGGCATTGCTGAGGTTGAACACTGACATCCCAAATGATGTCTTCCCCTCTGGCTGTAGGCAAGAGATAAAGTCGGGAGAAGGGATGAGAGTTAAAGCTGGGAAAGGGAGAGGTAGAAAGTGGGGGAAGGAAGTGGAAAGAGAACTTTGGGAGGGAGCAGCTGGACGTGGAGAGGCATGTGAGAGGATAGGGTTCCACAGAGAGTAACTGTGAACTTGGATCAGCTGAAAATGGGGAGCAGTGAGCAGAAAAGAAGGGGGCAGCCAGAGCCACGTGAGAATGTAGGTGGGTGCCGCAGGGGAAGGCAGTCCCCGAGCCACGGAGAGCAATCAGGGAGGGAGGAAGCCAAGCAAGTAAGAGAGAGTGGTGGAAATACCTGGGAAGGGGGAGAATCTGAGAGTTGAGTAGCTGGGTCAGGAAACGAGTTAGGCTGAGGAACAGCTGGCATCAGTTGGGAAGTTGAGTTGGAGCAGGTGCAGCCAGCACGGGCTGTGCCAGTATCACGCTCATCCACCAACTGAACCGGCTTCGTCTCAGCGTCAGGAACATCGTTGGGCAGAATGTCCTCATGTTCCTGACTGGGGCTGCGTAGGGGAAGAAAACACAGGTGGGGCTGAGAAGAAGGGGACCCCTGACCCCTGACCCCTGACACTGTCAACTTAGACTGCCCCAGCCCACAACCACTCACCTTACAGCACCCGCAGGGAAGTCTCCATTCATTTTGAGCTCCTGAAGCTCCATCCTGTGGACAGAAAAGTAGAGTTGGCAGAGGAGATGAGACAGGGAAGCAAGCTGGAAGGGCAAAGAGGATGGCATGCAGAGGTAAGCAGCGAGCAAAGCACAGAAACTGAGGAGAGTCAAGAGGAAGGAAGAGAAAAGCAAGAAGAGCAAGGGGATAAGAGAAAGTGAGATAAATGGAGAGCAAGAAACACAAGCCTAAGAGGTGACACAGAGATGGGAGAGATGGGGAAACAGAAGAAGAAAATCAGAGTGGAGGAAACTCCAAGAGTTGTTCAGACAGACATAGAAAAAGGGCAGTGAGAGATCACGAGAGAAAGAGGGACAAGAACGCCGGTGAGACCGACCCTGCAGCAGATGAGCTAGCCATTTAGAGCTAAGGCAATCTCTCCTCCCAGACCCTAGACTCACTGTGCCTCTTCTCATGCCCGCGGTCCTTTTAGTTCCTGTCCCCCGCGCCCTCCCCTCTTCCCTCCCCCAGTCACCACTTGGCCAGCCATTCACTCCTTGCAAGGACACGTGTCAGCGCAATGGCCCCACCCCTTCTAACACCTCCTCCACCTGCTCCTCCCTGCCTAGCCTCCGGAGCCCAGGACTGATGCAACCTGTTGAAGGGGCTTCCACGGGGGTTGCGGGGAGGGAACAGGACTCAGAAATACCAGCTTGGACCAGATGAACGATGCAAAGTGCTCTCAGCCACAGGGACAAACAGAGGGATAAAAGACAAGAAGGCAGAAAATATGGGAGTCAAGCAGTGTGGCAGACAGCGTGGCTATATGAGCCTGAGAAGGGCAGCAGGGCATATGTAAGGGTAAACACAGCCAAGCCATTTCCACGCAGACCCTCCATCTGGATGTTATGGTGGGGACAGGGTTGGGTGGGGGTGGCTCCCAGGGAGAGGCAAGGTGAACAGGTGTGGTGGTGGGGAGTGTGCACATACATACACTATATGCAAACTGGGTAAATCCTAGAGTCCAGGACCCCAGCCCAAGCATGGGGTAGGGTTTTCACACCCCAATTGAGGAGCCCCACTATGTGTCTCTCTGCTGAGGGAGGATCTATCTGCTCAATCCCACCCAGGCATTTGGCAGGAGTGTCCCAGGCAAGGCATGTGTCTCCTACAGGTGGGGTAGAGTTGGGGGTCCTGATCCAACTTGATTAGATTGCTTAAAGGGCAGGTAGACGAGAAGCCTCCATCCAGAACCCTAGTCATCCTCTGTATCCCCATCCCCACCCTCCCTGAAAAGCCACAAGCTGGCTAGGGCTTCAAAAGTAGCCTAGGGTTAGGGTTAGAGTTAGGGTTACGGCAAATCCACACACACCCCAGTCCCCCTACAACCAAGGAGAATAAGGGATGGGAGGTTTACTTCCCCACCACAGCAGGAGAAAGACCTCTCCTGTGCATATTCAGGGATCGCAGCTACATAACTGTTCTCAGTACAGCCCCATCTATGGCTCAGAGATGGAGCAGAGTCAGCATCCCTCACAGAATTACGAGTGAGTGTGGCCAGGCAGGCAGGGAAGACACAGGGCACATGTAGTGAATGCTGAATTCTGGAGCACACACGGACCCTGATCACTGCCTGTGGAGCTCCCAGGCTCATGGGATAATCAGCCAGCCTCGGTGTGCCAATGATGTCATAGACATCATCACCCCCAAACAGAGCCACATAACACAAAGCGCAGGTGAACACAAGTTCCTACGGGAATCCAGGCATTGTCGACTCACAGACGCCATAGCCCACGGGTTCACAGCTATCATGCCAAAGAGAACCAACAGGCAAATCCACACACAGACTCACCAACATCTGCATCAGTCCCCCTCCCCTGGCACACAATTCCAAGGTGCAGATGGCTCCAGAAGTCCACTTACACAATCAGGTCTCTAACATGACATGTTAGCACATAGTGAACTCACATGTGTGCTGGTGACCCAATGAATAGCCACAACTCTGGTCACACAGACGCAGGCACTCGCAGTATGATATGACTGTACACACCAAAGCCACAGTCGCGCACAGACACATTCACAGCTGCACTCAAGCCACAGACTACGTATAAATCAAGTCCAAGGAAAAACTCCCAAGGAAAGGTGCAAACGCACATAAACAAAAAAATGCAGAAATACGGAGTGCATACCTACTATCGTTGCAAAGCAGAAATCCATAAAATATGCATAAGGCCGTGTGAGGAAAAAACAAAACAAAACAAAACCAGCACACCCCCCAAAAAACAAAACAAACAAATAAAAACAGGGAACCAAAAACCACTCATAAGAGAGCAGTTTAAAAAGCATGCGGGCAAGGCATCTTGTGCTTTAATTTCATTTGCCATGAACTTTGAAAAATATATTCATATATTCATTTGAAAGGCAGGGGTTACAGAGAGAATTGGAGAGAATTGGAGAGAATTGGAGAATTGGAGAGACAGAGACCAAGCTGGTTCATTCCCCAGATGGCTAAAACACTCAGCCAGGCCTAAGCAAGAGCTTCATCTGGGTCTCTCACAGGGGCACAAGGGCCCAAGCACTTGGGCCATCAGCAGAGAGCTGGATTGGAAGTGGAGCAATCAGGACCCAAATAGTGCCCACATGGGACATCAGCATTAGTCACTGGTTTTACCTGAACACCCCCGTGCCAGACTCAACCATGAACCTTTTGAAGTACCTTGTACAGTGGCACCAAAAGACAGCTCCACAGGGCACACATCTGCAGCCACTCACTGGAGAAAGACACAGACGTGGGGGTAGACACATGGAGAAAAAAGACACACATAAATAAGACATACACATACACAGGACAGACAAATGCTCCCTCCAACACACTCATCACACACAAGCATGACAAAGGAGACACGTGAACACCTGAGCAACATGCACACACGACCCTATACAAATGACTCACACACACAGTGTGACACAAAGGTGCCATACATAAGTTGTGTAGGTAGCATTAGACAGAAGATACAAACAGGAAAGTTAGAAAGGCAGCCGCACACGCAGCTCACAGGCAGTACGTGACTGTGCTGGAGAACCTATACAAGCAGATGAGATATCCTCAGGGGTGTTCATGGCTACACAAACAGACGTCCCTGCCCGGCTCACTTCAGCAGCTGCTTGCTCCCCCAGTTCCTGCTTACTCTGCTTTCTTTCTCTCCCCACTCACAGCCATTACACATTTGCGTTACAGGTTGGTCAGGGAAAGAGACATCTGTCAGCAGAGGCCCTGGCCCAGATGGCCGGGGGGCAGGGGGGGCGGGGGGACAGGATAGGATGGGGGTAGGCAGGTTGGTACATTTTCAGAAAAGTCGCAAGTGGTCTGTGTAAAGAACTAGTGCCTCCTGCTGTGATCCCACTGCCAGAACCCTGGCTCTCTCACATTGTCCAGCACAGGGGCTACTAGGCACACAGCAGAACACACAATAAATGCTACCTACTAAGTGTCATACTATTGTCACCATTCTTTTCATTTCTGCCAAGGAAATTTTTCCAGAAGAGAAAGGAGCCTTCACTTAGCTTGACATCCTGTAGCTTTGCAACATTCAGGTCATCACAAGAGCAGGTATTTGGGGGGCTGGGGGAGCAGGTGTTTGCTTGAGTGGTGAAGATACTGGGTAAGACTCCTACTTCCCATATTGGAGTACCTGGGGCGGGGGGTGGGGGGCAGCTATCCTGGCTCCAGCTTCCCCTGGCTAAAGGCAGTCCCTGGGTGGCAGCCAGGATGGCTCAGGTCAACGGGCTCCTGCCACCCACAGGAACCACCTAGACTGAGTTGTCAGCTTCCCAGGTCCTTGCTTTGACCTGGATTGTTGTAGGATATTTGGGGGGAGAACAAGCAGATTGGAATTTGTGTTGTCTCTCTGCCTCTCAAATACATGCATAAAATTTAAGAAATACATTATTTTTAAAAATAGTAAGTTGTCAGCTTATGCTGGTAGAAGGAAGAAGAAAGGCAAAAGTGAGGTTTGGCTGTGTATTGGCTATAGAAGGTGCCAGATATTTGGGATATTTGGAAGGACCTGAGGCTGGGGGAGGGGGTGGGGGAGGGGATGTTAAACAGTAACTTTGTAAGTAGAGCCCCTTGTCAGGTTCTCTTAGGGTTCTTGCTGATCCTGTAAAATCCCAGCTTGGAAGAATAGCTGGGATTTCCACACAGCTTATCAAAAGTCATTTGGGCATCTTGTCAGTTCTTCCAGGGAGATCCCGGATGTTCATGACCCTGTCATTGGTCCACTGCTCAGAAGTGAAGGGAGTGGCTTTGCAAAGCAGCTAGCACCAAAAGCTTTCTCTACTTGATGTTGGAAGGGCTTGGCGGCCACTAAATCTCATGGGGGGACATAATAATGCCAAAATCCCAGAGCTATTGGGAATGAATAGGTTCAGACACCTGACACACAGCAAGTGAATGTGACCACTACTTTCCACCCCAATCTGCTGCTGCATGTGGGCTCCCCACTAAAGAACTCTTTCATTCTCTGACAGCACGGATCCTCCCAGCCCCCAACCCCCGTCCCTGTCCAATCTCAGACCCCCCCCCCATCCTCCCCCATTTCCGGCCCGAGGTTAAGGTGCCCCCTCCAGGAACCAGTGGACCTGGCAGTTACCTCTTCAGCAGGGCTTAGAGGAAGAAGCCTTCCTAACTCAGCAGGAGGTCCAGGTGGGGCTCCCGACGTTGAATCCCGACTGGGGAGTGCAGAGCCTGGCTCTTGTCCTTCCATCCCTTGCCAACACCTAGGCCTGGTTTCTTGGCTCAAAAGTAAACATCCTGGGCCCGGCGCGGTGGCGCAAGTGGTTAAGTCCTCGCCTTGCACGCCCGGGATCCCATATGGGCGCCGGTTCTAATCCCGGCAGCCCCGCTTCCCTTCCAGCTCCCTGCCTGTGGCCTGGGAAAGCAGTCGAGGACGGCCCAAAGCTTTGGGACCCTGCACCCGCGTGGGAGACCCGGAAGAGGCTCCTGGCTTCGGATCGGCATAGTATCGGCCCGTTGCGGCTCACTTGGGGAGTGAATCATCGGATGGAAGATCTTCCTCTCTGTCTCTCCTCTCTGTATATCCGCCTTTCCAATAAAAAATAATAAAAATAAATCTTTAAAAAAAAAAAAAAAAAAGTAAACATCCTGGGACCGGCGCGGTGGCCTAGCGGCTAAAGTCCTTGCCTTGTACGCGCTGGGATCCCACATAGGTGCCGGTTCTAATCCCGGCAGCCCCGTTTCCCATCCAACTCCCTGCTTGTGGCCTGGGAAAGCAGTCGAAGACAGCCCAAAACCTTGGGACCCTGCACCCACATGGGAGACCCGGAAGAGCTCCTGGCTTCAGATCAGATCAGCTCCAGCTGAGCTCCCCAGCGGCTGCTTGGGGAGTGAATCAAAGGAAGGAAGATTTTCCTCACTGTCTCTCCTCTTCTCTGTATATCTGACTTTGCAATAAAAATAAAATGAATCTTTAAAAAATTAAACATCCTTTTGGGGCAGGGCAAGAAAACAGGACGTGGGAAGCGTTCCACGGGGTGAACTTGGGATCCCCTCCCCGCAAGCATCTTGGGGAGCCCTCCTCTCTTGTAGGCAGCAGCTTCATGGGTTGAACTGTTCCTAACCCACACAGGAGCTTCCTTCAGCAGGGGGTAGAGGAGGGAATGGGGGGCAGCAACCCAGAGGCCCCCTCAGGCTCTGGTCCTAGGCACTCCTACAGGACTCTGCTCCTTCCCCAACCCCGCAGGAAACCGCGAAGCACCACGCCAGCGGGAGAGAAGAAGGGAACTTGCCCCCGAAGGGCGGATCCCCGGGCCCCCATGCTCAGGGCGGGGAAGCAGCGGTGTGGACCAAAGAATCAGGATCTCTGTGTGCTGAAGCTCCCGGACCAAGCCACCAGGGCTCAAGGGTTCAGCTCCTTAAGTCCTCAGCAAATTTGTTTCCCCTTCGAATTTGGCGCTCCCTCGGCCCACAGTGCACTTCCTCCAACTAGTACTAGGGGGCGCTCCCTTGCGGCGCTCAGCTCCAAAGTCTCCTTCCCCGAGCGCTCTCTGAAACAGCAAGTCCCCTCCGTTCTTCTCCCCACCTTTCATCTAACTTCATTATTCTTACCTGTGATCGCCACCTGACATAACATTATAGTTACATCATGAACTCTGTATTTCGTCATTTCCGAAAGAAATGGATCCAGATACTGGCATATCCATATACTCATATACAATATTAGCATTATACTCATGTGTAATACATTTATTTCAGACTCAGGAAAATGTGAAAAATACATATCATTCTATTTTGATATTTACATATATTCATATACAATGTTAGCATTATACTTATGTATAACACATTTATTTGAGACTCAGGAAGATGTGCAAAATACATACCATTCTATTTTGATATTTACATAAAATGGCATATTTATCTACATTTGTTCTCTTTGCTATATAGCTCAAGTAGCTAGAAATAGTCTACATCTGTCTAGATTTCTATACAGAAATGTGAATACAAAAGCACTCAAGCAGTACCCTCGGAACAAGCTCTACATCAGGAACCCTGTGATGACACCAAGAGCTCATCCCCCATCCCCAGGCACTGATGCAGTTGGGCTGCTGGGAGTAGCTCTCTCCCATTATCTTCCCACTTCCCCCAGATACAGGAAGAAAAAAAATGGAAACAATTGTCTCACCCACCTTCCCCCATTCTTCCACCCTTCCCACCCTGATGGGTGATTAGCATGGGCATGCATCCTTTCAACTGTGTAAGCATCATCAAACATAAGATAAATTATCGTAAAAATATGAATAATATTCTTCATCACACACGTTACGGAAAGTAGTCTAAACTTACATACCCTAGTAATATGCATCCTCTGTTGCCTCATTTTCTTCATCTATAAATTGGATGCAATGAAATTAGCCACCTCACTTGACCGTTGAAAGAAATAAGAGTAAACAAAGGTAAGAACTCAGGAGCATGTTGGGGACCGGCTTGTACGGCTCACCAAGCTGCTTGTCAGTTATCTGGAGAGGAAAAAAAAGGGGATGCTCTAAATTTAGAATCCAATGCAATGGATTTATAAGTAATAAACTCTGCAGTTCCTAAGTAGCAGAGCAGTCCCCAAGCCCTGTGTTATCTGGATGGCCAAAGCAGTGGCTGAGGGTGCCTTTCCTGATTCTGATCTGCATGGCAGAAAGAAGAGATTGTGGTGCTTTTCCCGTACCTCCAGGGTCCATGACTGCACTTCAGCAGCTGCTGCGCAAAGCATGGAAGGTGACAAAGGTGAAAAAGCACAGCTTCCCTTCCTGAAAGCCAGTTAACCATTTACCAGCACCTAAGAGCACCTAGTATGGCATCCAGCACACAGCAAAGGCTAGAATATTTCCATTATTACATTGATATCATTATAACACAGTTACACAAGAAGATAGATTCTTCAGTCTGCTGGTTCACTCCCCCAAGTGGCTGCATAGGCCAGAGCTGATCTGATCTGAAACCAGGAGCCCAGAGCCTCTTCCAGCTCTCCCACATGGGTGCAGGAGCCCAAGGCTTTGGGCCATCCTCGACTGTTTTTCCAGGCCACAAGCAGGGAGCTGGATGGGAAGCGGGGCTGCCAAGACGTGAACCAATGCCCATATGGGATGCAGGTGCATGCAAGGTGAGGATTTTAGCCACTAGGCTACCGTGCCAGCACTATTGATGTCATTTCTACCGTTATTGTGTTTATACACTGGGTCTCCTCGGTCTTTATCTGTATGAGAGCCGGAGTCCAAAGTGCCTAAAGAATGCAGAAATATCTAAAAATGCAGAAACACCTCGCAAGCTATACTTATTTAATGTTCCCTACAGTTGCATGAAATCTGTACTATTCAACATTTCCATTTTCCAACCCAGTAGCTTCTCAGCGATTACACAGGCCACCAACACACTTTCCTTGTCACAGAGACAACAGCAGAGGCAATTTATCTTCGCGCCAAGAGGAAATCGAATGGGCGTCATCGAGCACATTGCATCTTGGGAAATGTAGTCCTCGGGCTCAACGACAGCTCCCCGCCACCACCATTCTCTCCACACCCCGCAACCCCCGCCACGATCCAAGAAGGGAGGGGCGAGGGAGGAAATCGAACTTGGCCTTGGAACAAAAGAACAAAGACAGCTCTGGTGCTACGCGACGTTTCAGCCAAGCCGTGCGGGAGTTTGGCCCGCATTGGTCATGCCCGTTGCATGCTGGGTGCAGCAGTTCCTGTTACTTAGTTACGTCGACCCAAGATGACGGGACACACGTTGTACGTTCAGATCGGTTCCAGGTGTCGCTGCTGCTGTGAGCTGCCCACCATGCCGACTGCTTTAACCTTTAGCCATGTGCGAGCAGCGCTAAGGACTGCTGCGAACACAAACTGAAGCCTTACTTTTGCTCACCGGCTGCGCTCTTGCTGAGGCTCGGGCTGCAAGTGGACTGACCTGATTAACTGCTTCATCCCGCTGGGAAAGTTGAGGAAGGCCCTGGGATCCCGAGGACGTGGGTCCAAGCCGAGGTTTTCTAGGCACGACTGACCTGTCCCAGCCAGCGAAGGAAGAAGCCTGGACTGCCCTGGGAGCTGCCGCTGCACAATCCCCATTGCACTAACATCTGGGCTTTAGCCCCCAAGGTTTGTGCGCCCAAGCGTGCTGGATGGGTAGGAAGGGAGTATAGGGACACAGCGGTGTAGCTAGAGTCTGGGAAGAGAATCTTGCGCGCCCACTGGAGCCATGGGCTTTGTGGTTATTGGAAAATCGGGGAGGGGGAACTGTAAGAGTCGGAAAAGTTTGGTCCGATGTTAACCTGGGACTTCACGTAGTGTTTGGGGGTCAATGGAGTGTGTCCATTGCTTGATTAACGAGGGAGCAGTAGAGTGAGCAACTCAAAGATAATGGGACATAGATGATGATGATGTTCCACGTGGGTGGAGGGCAATGTAACATATGGACGGAAAGGATGCTAAGAGAGCTGGCATATGGGGGAGGGCGAAAGAGCACACTAGGATTTCTGTGGTTCTCTCCACCCTCGGCAGGCAGGTGGTAGTAGAGTCACCTGGTTCAAGCTCCGGGTGGCATCAGCTGACCATCACAGGTCCCTGGGCAGTGTGAGATGGGACGGACATCAAAGGACAAGCGAGATGTCTACTACCGCCTGGCCAAGGAGAATGGCTGGCGTGCCCGCAGTGCCTTCAAACTGCTACAGCTAGATGAGGAATTCCACCTCTTTGCAGGTGCCTAACTGGTGACAAGGGAAGGGGAAGAGAGAGAGGGTGGTTCCAATCTGATGGGAATCTGGGGAAGGGACACAGGCGGGAAAGGAAGTTGGCCTCCTGGGCAGTTGGGAGATGTGGGTGCACACCAGGAACAAGGGATACCCTTGGCAGGAACCCCAGGTTGGTGAGGTGAGGCACTACCAACTTGTGCCCTTTCACTGTGTGTGTCCAGGTGTGACACGAGCTGTTGACCTCTGTGCAGCTCCAGGCAGCTGGAGCCAGGTGCTGAGCCAGAAGATTGGGTAAGTCTGGGGAGCCCAGAAGGGCGGCCTAGGAATGTGTGTTAGGAAAGGCACAGCCAGAACCAAAAATCTGGCTGAGTTGTGTTATCATTATAGAAGCCAAGAGCCTGGCCGAGTGGTGGCTGTGGACCTGCAGACGATGGCTCCACTCCCGGGTGTGATCCAGATCCAGGGGGACATCACCCAGGTGAGAGCATGGCTCAGGGGACACTGTGGGGCAGGGGAGGGGGGCTGTTCTGGCAGAAAGCCCTCTTTCAGACCAAATGGGAAATGGAAGGAGAGGCAAGGTGGTAGAAACAAAATAGGGAGAAGGACAAAGAGAAGCGGACTGACAAAACAGAAGCCTTGGAGTTCGCAGGTCATCCATCATTGCAAAGAGACACTGAAGAGATCCAGTCTCCAGAGATGAAACCAAGTCTTTCAAAATAAAAACCAAGAAACAGTTCTATGTGATTTTATAGTGGAGATTTTTCTTGTTTCTTTATTATGTGAACATAGAGGTGTATTGAAGCTAAAACCACTACAGTCTGCTCTTTTGAGAGCACTGTTGTATCCAAACATTATGTTACAATGTATCCCTGGCCATTTCCTTGGGAATGTGGAAGTTGACAAACATTCAAAGAGAGAAGGAAAGGAAAGAGAATGGAAGAGAAGAAAGAAACCTGGTCTTAGGTGTGCAAAGCCTGAGAATTTGGCTGACCCAGGGAAGACTAGGAGCCAGAACATGGGCAGGTGCTACCAAAGGGCCAGAGTATAAATCCCTGGGACCACACATTCTCATTCTAACTCTCTCTCTCTCCCTCTTCCTCTTCCTGCTCCCTCATTCTTTCACTCCCTCTGCAGCTGTCCACTGCCCAGGAGATCATCCAGCACTTTGAGGGCTGCCCTGCAGACCTGGTGGTGTGTGACGGGGCTCCTGATGGTAAGCGGCAATGGGTGCAAAGCCAGGCAGGGCCTCCAGCTGCTTGCTCCTCTGCATCTGCCACCTCAGTTGACTTCCTGACCTCTTCAGGTGCTCCCTGCCTCTCCTCATCCTTCTCAGCCTCTCCCCGCCCTCTGCTGCCTGCTTTCCACCTCTGTCATCTCTGCAAATGCACAGTTCCATTGGCCACTCATTCTTGTAGTCAGTCAGTCACTGGACACAGCTTTGCTGAGTGTCTATTATGTTTGGGTGAAAGATCTGTGAATATGTTCCACTAGTCTCGACCTTGTGGAGCTGATATTCTATTAGGAACAGGTGGAAATGAAAGCCAATAATTGGGCTATATGTTAGGAGGCGATAGGTGGCCGTAGGGGAATGCAGGAAGCAGCAAAGAAGAGAGCACCTGTTGGCATCAATGAGGAAAGTTAGATGAGGAGCACCTCCCTGAGCTGCCAATAGAGGCTGAGAGGAGGTGAGGGAGGAGGCCACGGTTCATCAGTAGGAGGAGCCATGCAAAGGCCCTGAGGCCAGAGGGTGCTCAGTGAGTGTGAGGCACAGCAAGCAGTTCATTGTCATTGGGACACAATGACTGAGAGTGACGGGAGCCAGAACCTGTAGAACTTTGTGGGTCCCAGAGAGCTCAGAGCAAGCCAGGAGCAGTGCCAAGATCTCTCAGGCTACTGTGAATAGGGAGAGGAACAAGAGTGGAAACAGGGGGCTTCAGGACTGGGCTGCTGCAATGGTCAGGAGAAGCTGCAGGTGCTTTGAGAGCCAACCTGATGAGTTTTATTACTGACTGGGATGCGGAGATGAGAAGAGGACTGACTAGGGGCTGGGTATGAAGATGGAGACCAAAGGTCCCTAATAGAGTTTTTAGCCCAAAGTACTGAAAAGAGCAGATTTGGGAGGGGAGCTGAATTTGATTTTAGCCCTGGGAGATGGGAGTCTGCTGGATGAAGCTGCAGATTGGGGCAGCCATGTGTGCGGCAGGTAGACATGGCAATACGACTTACCCATGAGGTGCTTTGCAACTGCTGAGGGTTGGCAGCTCTGCCTAGGCAGGCAGTGGCAGGCTGCAGTTGCTTCCAGAGCCTTGGCAGGAGGGAACCCCCAAAGTGACATTTTCCAGCTACTCTAAATGGCAGCATAAGAAGCCACCGGGCCCCCTAACACTGTTCCTCCTACTGCAGTCACTGGCCTCCATGATGTCGATGAGTACATGCAGGCCCAGCTCCTCCTAGCAGTGAGTAACCTTGGCAGTCCCCGCCCTCCTTTGGCCCCCCTCCTGGCTGCCTCCGCCTCCATCTCAGCTATCTGTCCTGCCCACAGGCTCTGAATATTGCCACACATGTCCTAAAGCCGGGAGGCTGCCTGGTGGCCAAGGTAAGAGTCAGGACAGGGATGGGGCTTTTGCGAGCGTTCCAACAGAGTGGAGCATGAGGTCCCTGCGAGCTACCCTCACCACTCCCTCCCTCCCGCCCTACCCCTCTCACCCCTCCCCCAGATATTCCGAGGCCGGGATGTGACACTAGTGTACAGTCAGCTACGCATCTTCTTCTCCAGCGTGCTCTGTGCCAAGCCCAGGAGCAGTCGGAACTCCAGCATCGGTCAGTGTAGGGCAAAGCAAGCCAGGGCGGAGGCTGGGTTGGGGAGGTGGGCAGAAACAATCTCCCAGGGCACAGCCTGCATGGGGTGGGGGTGGCAGCAGACACCCTCACTCCACATTCCTCCTCCCCACCCCCCATACAGAGGCGTTTGCTGTCTGTCAAGGTTATGACCCTCCTGAGGGCTTCAAGCCAGACTTGAGCAAGCCCCTGCTGGACCATGCCTACGGTAAGAGCCAGATCCGCATGCTCCATCCCTGGGGAAATTCTTGTGTTTCCCCCCGCCTCCCTCCCCCCCCCCCACACACACACAGACCCAGCTACTCATTCGCTTTATCTCACCCATGTACCCCCGAGACTACCCTTTCTGGACATTGTGTCCCAACAGGCTCTTGAACCCAGTTAACTCTCCTTAGGGGTAGTTCTTAAACCTGGTGACAGTTCTCTCCCTCAGACACACCCAGAGGTTTAGAAACCTCAGCCCTCCATGGAAGGTTTGCCCATGTAGGGTCTTCGCCTCACCCCCTAGTAGAAGGAGATAAGGTCCTGACAACTGACAATAGAATGGCAGGTGGACATAAATTGCCACAAGAAAGCAGCAGATGTTTTTGAAGGGGTAAAAGCTTTCTGATGGGGAGGGATGTGGGGTGGACTGGTAGATACCTGGGGAGGACGAGACACCTGTGCCTGGCCCCTGGTGTCCTGGCCCTGTATTGAGTTTGTTTGTGTCTATTCCTAAGACCCAGATTTCAACCAATTGGATGGACCTACCCGCATCATTGTGCCTTTTGTGACTTGTGGGGACCTGAGCGCCTATGATTCAGACCGGAGTTACCCACTGCACGTGAGTGCCCGATCCAATCGACAGGAATTGGTGGGGGTTGGGGACAGGGAGCTGTTCTAGGTTCCCAGGTCCTCATCTTCCCGTGTCTTGCATCTCTTACAGCTACAGGATGGCTCCGAGTACAAGTACACACCCCCCACCCAGCCCCCTATCTCACCCCCATACAAGGAGGCCTGCACGTTGAAGAAGAAGGGACAGCTGGCCAAGGAGATTCGCTCTCAGGATTGCCCAATCAGCAGAGTGGACACTTTGGCCCAGCCCCTGGCCACTCCTCAGCGCCATACCCTGCTTGCTCCTGAGGTCTGGAAATGGGGTTCTGAGCCCATATTGACTGCTTCGCAGCATGCCTCTGTCTGCCCTGAATCACTGGGTTCTAAGGCCAAAATTCTCTTCCTTGTCTCCCATAGCTGTAGGACTCAGTAGATAAAACCAAGCATAGGAATAGAAACTTTGGAACCAACTTATATGAATCCCATTTCTTTGTCCTGCGTAGGTAGAAGAGAATGGAATTGAAATGAATTGTTCATGTTAAGGTGGGTAAGTTCACTTTTTTTTTTATCTCTGGGTTTGCATAAGGATACCTTTAAATAAAAAAATTCAAATATTACCTTGGAGATTTCTCCACCAACTGCTAAGATTATAGTCACCCCAGCTTTGCTAAGCATCTCTTAGGGTGCTCCAGGGACTACTAGGAGCATTTTTTACAAATTGAGGCAATAATTCAGTAAACACCAAGCACACACTGTGGGCCCAGGCATGGTTCCAGGTTTGGAAATAGAGCAAAGAACAAAACAGACACAGGTCTCAGCTCTCCCAGAGCTGCTGGCTTGGGTAAGAGGTCTGTGAATGTGTGACATCTGTGCATTCTTTAAAAAATATGTATATTTTATTTTTAATCTTATTTACATAGTTGAAAGGGATGCTTGCCCACATGGGCCTCCAGTGAGGGTTGGGAGGGTTGAGGAAGCTGAGTGGGACAACAAATGTTTCAGTTCTGTTCTTTTTTGTCTCCTGTATCTGCTGGGGAGAGAGAAGGGAGGGGCCGCTTCTTGCTGCCAGACTATATCAGCATGTAGGGAGGGAGGCGACCACTTCATTAACACCTTAGAGACCCTGATGCGAGGAAGAGTGTTCTCAGTTGAGTGGTTTGTGTTTTTTTTTTAAGATTTATTTTATTTTTATTGGGAAGTCAGATATACAAAGAGGAGGAGAGACAGAGAGGAAGACCTTCCATCCATTGATTCACTCCCTAAGGGACTGCAACGGCTGGAACTGCGCTGATCTGAAGCCAGGAGCCAGGAGCCTCTTCCAGGTCTCCCATGCGGGTACAGGATCCCAAGGCTTTGGGCCGTCCTCAACTGCATTTCCGGGCTACAAGCAGGGAGCTGGATGGGAAGCAGGGCTGCTAGGATTAGAACCAGCACCATATGGGATCCCAGCATGTTCTAGGCAAAGACTTTAGCCGCTAGGCTACCACACCAGACCCTTTTGAGTGTTTTTGAAAGTTCTGAGACATGATCGGCTTCGTTGTACCAGGGTTAAGAAAATCTTTCCAAGGTCTATTGGCTTAGTGTATCCACAGACCCTGACGCTTGTTGCAAAGCTTGGCCAGGAGAATCATCCATCCAACCTATTCTGATTTTGTCCTCTCACAAGGCAGTCGATGTGTCTGCTGGCCTAGTTGAGCTGGCTGTCATGTCCCGCTTGTGCTTCTGGGCGTGCTGTTCGCTGCACAGGCATCCATAGCCATCCTTTTGTTAACATATAAATACACATTTTCCATGAACATCTTCAAGAGCACTTGTATGTATGCATTTCACAATATTTCAAAATAAACTTACTCTTCTTTCTTTTTTTTAAAGATTTATTTAATGTTTATTGGAATGGCAGACTTACAGAGAGAGGGGAAGAGACAGATAGATGTTCTGTCTGCCAGTTCACTCCCCACATGGCCACAACAACCAGAGTAAGCTGATCAGGAGCCTCTTCCAGGTCTCCCACATGGGTACAGGAGTTCAGGCACTTGGGCCATCCTCCACTGCTTTCCCAGGCATAAGATCAGGGAGCTGAATTGGAAGTAGAGCAGCCAAGACACGAACCTGTTCCCATATAGAATGCTATCGCTATAGGTAGAAGCTTGGTCTACTATGCCAGGACGCTGGCATGATAAGCTTAACTTTCAAATTCATTTTGGGGGGGAGGTGGCCAGCATGGTGACCTAACAGCTAAAGTCCTCACCTTACACATGCCGGGATCCCTTATAGTCGCTGGTTCTAATCCCGGCAACCCTGCTTCCCATCCAGCTCCCTGCTTGTGGCCTGGGAAAGCAGTCAAGGACAGTCCAAAGCCTTGGGACCCTGCACCCATGTGGGAGACCTGGAAGAAGCTCCTGGCTCCTGGCTTTGGGTTGGTTCAGCTCTGGCCAGTGTGGCCACCTGAGGAGTGAATCATCAGACCAAAGATCTTCCTCCTCTCTGTATACCTGACTTTCCAACAAAAATAAATAAATCTTTAAAAATTCAGTTTTCCCCTGAACTTTTTGAAGTACCCTGATACATAATAAGTAAAAGGAGTATGGGATAAGTAAAACAAGTGCAAGCTGGACATAAAGGACCAAGGTCTCTAGGCAAAGTGTTTATAGTGTTGTGATTAGTGTTTGGAGTAAAGGACTGGAAGGGCTGAAACAAAATTGATGTTGCTAACTGCACTAGGAAAAAGTATTTATACCTTAGTATATTTTATTCTTAGTACTAAAGAAGTCTTCTAAATCAGTAAAGGGAAAAATAGGAAAGTAAGGGGCAAAGTTGGCAGAGTAGGTTAAGCCGCCATTTGTGTTAATTACATCCTACACCAGGCAGCAGTTTGAGTCTCAGCTGCTAAGGATCTTATCCAGGTCCCTGCTAATATATGTGCCTGGGGAAGCCTTGAGTTGTTTTGTTTTTGTTTTTGCTTTGCTTTATTTATTTTTATTGCAAAGTCAGATATGCAGAGAAGAGAGAGGAAAAGCTTTTGTCTACTGATTCACTGCCTAAGTGGCCACAACAGCTAGAGCTAAGCCTCTCCGAAGCCAAGAGCCTGGAGCTTCTTCCGGGTCTCCCACACGTGAGCAGGGTCCCAAGGCTTTGGGCTGTCCTTGACTGCTTTCCCAGGCCACAGGCAGGGCAGTGGATGGGAAGCCGGGCTGCCAGAACACGAACTGGTGCCCATATGGGATCCCAGCACGTGCAGGGCAAGGGCTTTAGCCACTAGGTCACCATGCCAGGCCCATGTTTTTTGTTGTTTTTTTTTTTTTTTGTATTATTGGGAATCCTTTATTTTTTTGTTTTGTTTTAAGATTTATTTTATTTATTGGGAAAGCAGAGTTCCAGAGAGAAGGGGAGACAGAGATGTTACATCTCCTGATCCACACTGGCCAGGGCTGAGCCAGACCAAAGCCAGCAGCCAGGAACTTTATCTGGGTCTCCCACCTAGGTTCAGGGAAACAAGAACTTGTGTCATTCTCTGCTGTGTTCCCAGGTCACAAGCAGGGAACTAGATCAGAAGTGAAGCAGCTGGGACTCTCAGTGGTGGCCATATGGCGTGGTGGTGCTTGCAGGCTGCATCTTAACCCACTATGACAACCCTCTTCCTTGAGTTCTTGTCACCCACATAGAAGACCCAGATGGAGCTTCTGGCTCCTGGTTTCAGTCTGGCACAGCCCCAGGTGTTGGTCCTTTGGGGAGGAGTGTGCCACTGGATGAAGGATCTCTCAGTCTTTGACTCTTCCTTTCACAGGAACAGATGAATACTTTTTAAGAAAGATAAGAATGGCCAGTAAGCTGTGAAAAAGCTGCTCAAAGGGAAATACAAGCTAAAATCAAGTGGTTGGAACGATGTGTAGCCATTAGAATCCTCTTACTCACTGCTACAAGTGTAAAGATATGGCCAGTGCGCAGGCTGTTGAATGTTACCTCTTAGAGCTGTATGTATGCCCATTCATTCCTGAGAAACAGGCTACAAGGCTCCTAAGCAACGCTGTCTGTGTCCTATGAAATGCCAGAGGATGCTAGAATGTTCTGAGTAATACTGTATGTATCCCCGTGAAATCATAGTATGTGTCGAGACTACACCACAGGGCCAATGAACACCTACCTTATGGGTAGAATAACACCTTGGCATCTTTGCTCATTAAACTGAACACATTTCATGCATTTCTCTTTCTACTACATAGGAGAGAGGGCTACAAAACTGTTGGCAATTCGGTGAACAAAATTATTACAGTGAAAGCAAATGGGCATGTATATTTTTGTGGTTTATTACTGTTTCTTTCCCCTTCAGGTAAAAATGAACAAGCTGCCTAATATCAGGGATGCCAGAACTTGAGTTGAACCTATTTTCAATATCATGTCAGCCATGGGGCCTAAACAGACAAGCCATGTCATTGGAATCTGCAAGAGCCACCACAGAGACAGCAAGGAACGAACCAGAATGTGAGGCGATGAATTCTTGACTGAGGTCCTACCTCTTCTCTAAGCCTCTCCCAGGGGTGTCCTAATTATTTCCACAATTTCCCCCATGGAACCTGAGGGTGTTCACTTGCATAGAAATCAGGTTATCTATATATTCATGCCACGTAATTTCATGAATAACTGAACTTGAACTTGATTCCCAGTACTGAATACTGGCAACAAACCACAATAGAAAACACTGTACCTATGATTTTCTTATGGATGCAAAAATACCCTTTTTAATGTAAATTACAGTTGGAGGCATATGGCAATATTGTTTCTATTTGTCACCACTGTGAATGATAGCAGATTTTTTAAATCCACTGTTTTGATTAAAAAGCCCCAAATGTTACCACACCCCAAATTTTTTTCAATTTTATATATAGCAATAATTAAATTTCAGTGTACTGGAATCCCATTTTAATATGGACGGGTTCTTCAAGAAGTTCATGGAAAGTAGAATTGGAAATAAGTTTCTTTGAGCAAGACATTTTTGAGATTTGTGCATAAGTGAGGAGTCTTCCCCAAAGTTTGTCTGAAATGCATTTTATGGGAAAACTGCACAGATTTCAATCTGTAGCAAAAATAAACTTAATTCCATCTTTTCAGGACTTTTAAAAACACCCTGATCTTTGTGTATCTGAGTACTCATGTGGAGAATGTGCATTTAGCCTGGGGATTGAGACAGCCCACACCCTTGATCTGAAGCACCCAGGTTCATTTCCAGCTCCTGATTTTAACATCTTGTCAGTACAGACCCCAGGAGGCACCAAGGATGTTGGCTCAAATAATGAGTTCCTGCCACTTGTGTGGGAGCCCTGGAATAAGTTTCTAGCTTCCGGCTTTGGCCCCAACTGTTGTAGACATTTGAGTGAGTTAGTGAATGGGAGTTCTCTGTCTCAATAAAAAGTAAAATTTTGTTTTGTTATCTTTTTAAAAGATTTATTTCTTTTTATTGAAAAGTCAGATTTACAGAGAAAAAGAAAGATCTTCCATCCACTGATTCACTCCCCAAGCATCCACAATGGCTAGGGCTGAGGCAATGTGAAGCCAGGATCCCAGAGCCTCTTCCACGTCTCCCACGCAGGGTCCCAAGGCTTTGGGCCGCTCTTGACTGCTTTCCCAGGCCACAAGCAGGGAGCTGGACGGGAACTGGGGCAGCCAGGATTAGAACCGGCACCCATATGGGATCCCAGCACATGCAAGGAAAGGATTTAGCCACTATGCTATTGTGCCAAACCCTGTTGTTATTTTTTACAAATCTATGAAGGGGTACAAAGATCTAAGCAGTTACCAAATAGTTCCCCAGAATTCATTCTCTAGGTGAACAAACCCCTCAGGAGTGTTGGAAAATCAGTCGAAGTCACCCCTGTTTACAATCCTAAAGCAGAACAGCTGAACAAGGAACTGACAAACTCCCCAGCTAGGCAACAAGAACTAATTTTTCCAGTTTAATCCTATGTCTTTAGAAACATGTTCTCTGGGTCTCAGAGGCTGTTTTCTTCACCTGACTGACCCAGGAGTTGTCGCACAGCTATCTGAGTGATCCCTAAAGAATGCATAAGGCTATGACAGCAGGTACCAGTGCCCAGTCCAAAGTGGTGCCACACTCTGAAGGGTATGTTTATAGGGGTGAGACTATGCCCTAGTCTGGCCACAGCAATAGCAATACCTGCCTGTGTGTCCCAGGGCTAAGAATGACCCAAGTGTTCATGCCGAAGGCTGTGTGGCCATCCATCCCCAAAGCGGTTTCTATACCACTTGGGCTGAGTCCACAAGTGCCTGCATTGAGTCTTTGGGACCCTAGGAATGGCCATCCTGCAATTTTTATGACTCAGAGAGCCATCAACCCTCCTTCAGCGACCCCACAAGTATCCATGTCATCAATGTGGACCCACAGGGGTGGCCATGGCCAAGCTTGTGCCAATCCAGGGATGCCCCTGTCTTATTTGCCATCTATTCCCTATTCGTGTCTTTAGCTCTCTTCTTATCTCCATCTGGGTGACTCCAAATGGTCACACACCTCCATATTAGGTGTCCTCAAGAGTGTATCTCCCAGCTTGGTGTGCTTTAAGAGTGCCCACTCCAAATTCTGTGTGATCACATAGACACGACACCCCAAGGTGACCCCAACATTGTCCACACCGTGACCAGCATGACCCTGGGACTGCTTACCCAAAATGTAGCAACAACACATGTGTACAAAGGGATTGTCAGAAAGTTCATAGGAAATGTGTTATGAAAAAATAAAGCAAATTTCAAGTATTTTTTTCAAATGAAATAAGCGTCTTTGAATTGCATTTTTCCACAAACTCTTTGATGTCATTTCCTATGTATCCTCATATGTTTTACCCCAGGATTATAATGTCCACACCCCAGTTCAACGTAGCCCTAGTTTACTCCCAAACTAGTGACATTGGGAATGTATGCTGTGTCGTCTGTGTAATCCCAGGAGTGTCCAGACCCCAGACTCTCAGGAAGGCTGAGGGGAGGAAGTGGTCCAGGCAAAGGGGAAAACCTATGCAAAGGCTCTGAGGCAGGAGTGTGCCTGATACAACTGAGAAACAAAGAGGATACCAGTGGGGTAGAAACAGAGTGAGGAGTCATTGGTAGATGAGATCAGGGATGCCCTTTGGAGAGCAGGGCATGGAGCCTGGAGGGACCTGGAGCCCAGAAGGGCTCTGAGCTGACTTGGGTTCTAACAGGATCCCTTGGGCTTCTGGAAGAGTGTTATAGAACCACTTTTGTTGGTCAAAACTGCTTATATACTAAAAGAGTGAGTTTCATTGTGTGTTAATTGAATCTTAAAATTCATAATATTATAAAAAAGGTGCAATACTTTGCAATTTAACAAAGAGTTCTATGTCAAAGAAAAAAAAAAGAAAAAGAAGAGGTGATGGGCACAGCAGTTGACACACTTCTTAGGACACCTATATCACTTATCGGAATGCCTGGATTCAAGTCTCAGCTCCACTTTGTTTCCCCAGCTAATGAGTATCTGAAATGCAGTAGGGGCTAACTCAAGTACCTGGGTCCCTGGCACCCACCTGGAAAACCCAAGTAAAGTTCTGGGTTCCTGCCTTCAGCCTAGTGCAGCCCTGACCACCATGGGCATTTGCAGAGTGAATCAGAGGATGGAAGATGTTACTGTGTGCCCATCTCTATGAAATACATTATTCAAGAAAAAAAAGTAGGGGCTGGTGTGGTACCATATTGGGCTAATCTACCTGTAGTGCTAGCATCCCATATGGGCACCGGTTTGAGTCCTACCTTCTCTACTTCTGATCCAGCTTCCTGCTAATAGCCTGGAAAAAGCAATGCAAGTGCTTGGTTCCTGGCACTCATGTGGGAGACCAGAAGAAAGATACTCCTGTCTCCTGGCTTCTGACTGGGCCAGCTCTGGCTATGATGGCCATTTGGGGGAGTAAACCAGCAGAGAGATTTTTCTCTCTCTCCCTCTGCAATTCTGACTTTAAAATAAAATAAAAAGAATCTCTAAAAAAATTAAAGTTATTTACTTATTTTCAAAAGCCAGAGTTACAGAGAAAGAAAAAATTTTCCATCCACTGGCTCACTTCTCATGATTACAATGAGCAACCCTGGGCCAAGTTGAAACCATAAGCCAGGAGCTTTACCTGCTGTGTCTCAATGGCAGCCCTTATTTTTTTTTTTAAGTGTTTAAAAAGATTCCCTAGGAATAAAGTCGCAGATCAGTGAATTAGCCTGCTATTTGAGATGCTCGGGTCCTATATCAGAGTGCCTGAAGTCCCGCCTCCAACTCTGATCCAGCTCCCTGCTAATGCAGACTCTAGGAGGCAGCAGATGATAGCTCAATTCTTGCCATCCATGTGGGAAAGTCCAAATGAATATCTGATACTGGTTTTGGTCTGGCCCAACCCTACCTTTCTGGCTGGCTATTGCTGACATTTGGGAAGTGAACCAGTAGATAGAAGACTCTTAGTTACTCTGCCTTTAAATAAATAAATGAATGAGTAAATCTTAAAAAGACTGTCTATAGGAGAAGTTCAAGTTGCCTGCCTGTTATAGCTCCTCCCCCCACATCCTTTGTGCACAGAATTATATGGGCATATCCCTGAGCAGAAGGTACCAACCTGCCACTTCTCACCCTGCACCCAGTAACTGCTGTGTCTGCGGCAGATTGGATGAGGATTTCATCATATTTCTACTTTTTTTTAAAGATTTATTTTTATTATTTTTTTATTGGAAAGGCAGATATACAGAGAGGAGAGACAGAGGGGAAGATCTTCCGTCCGATGATTCACTCCCCAAGTGAGCTCAATGGCCGATACTATGCCAATCCCAAGCCAGGAGCCTCTTCCGGGTCTCCCACGCGGGTGCAGGGTCCCAAAGCTTTGGGCCATCCTCGACTGCTTTCCCGAGCCACAGGCAGGGAGCTGGAAGGGAAGCAGGGCTGCCGGGATTAGAACCGGCGCCCATATGGGATCCCAGGCGTGCAAGGCGAGGACCTTAACCACTGCGCCACCGCGCCGGGCCCCATCATATTTATACTTAAATATGGAAGCCTTAACCCCCAAGGTGACTTACAGCTTTCCATCGATGTCCTCAGCAGGGTTGGTCCCAGGACCCCTCCCCACTTGGATGCCCAAATCCACAGATGCTCAAGTTCCTTCTATTACATGGTGTCATATTTACACAAAACCATGCACACTCTCATCTATACTTTAAATCCTGTCTAGATTACCTTTAATGCCCAATACAAGGCAAATGCTGTTTGAATAGTTGTCATACTGCATTGTTTAGGGAACAAAGACAAGGGGGGAAAAAGCCTGCAGCATATGTTCGGTACAGGTGCAATTGAAAAAATATTTCCAATCTGTGGCAGGTTGAATCCAAAGATGCAGGATCTGAAGATAAGGAGAACTGACTGCATTGGATATAGGGCCTTTACAGAGGTGATTGGGGTTAGATGAGGTCAAAGGAGTAGGGTCCTAGCTCAACAGGACTAGTGTCCTAAGAAGACAAGGGGACACCAGAGCTTGCTCTCTCCACGTGTGTGCACAGAGGAAAGACAAGTCACAGAGGAGCCCTCACCAAGGAACTAACCCTGCGAGTGCCTTGACCCTAAACTTCCAGCCTTCAGACTGTGAGAAAATAAATGCCTATTGTTTAAGGCCCCCAGTCTGCGGTATTTAGTGACGGTAGCATGAGCAACTAACTTTCCCATGCGTGGATTTTATGTTTTTGTGCCCAAAATAAGCATCTTTGAAGTTCATTGTCCGTGAAGTTTGTGCAGCACCCTTGTCCATTGCCTAAGTTTTGGAGTGATTTCATCAGGCTCATTTTACTGGATGTGAGGGGAGTGGGCGTTTGAGTGAAGGAAAGACAATGCATGCATCCTCCCTAGAATGTGTTGAAGGAGTTTCTGGAACTGACAAAGGACATGAGCAACCCAAAGAAAGCCAGAAATGAAGCCCTCCCCCCGCCACCACCCCCCGGCACCCACACACACATATATACACACTCCTTGAGTGGCCACTGTTTGGGATGGCAGCATCCCATATTAGGATTGAGTCCCAATACACATTACAAGCTTTTCAATCCAGCTTCCTGTTAATGCATATTACAAGACAGGAGGTGAAGGCTCAAGTACTTGGGTCCCAGCCATCTATATGGGAGATCCAGATAGAGTTCCTGGCTCCTGACTTCAGCCTGTCTCAGCCCTGGCTGTTTTGGACATTTGGGGAATGAACCGGCAGATGGGAAGATAGATCTTTTTTCTCTCCTTTTTAAGAGATGAAAATAAACATTTTCCACAAAAAAAAAAAAAATCCATGGAACCATGTCCATGGACCATGCTTTGCCACATTGCAGGATGAGTAATGCTTGTGGAGTTTCCAGAACATGAGTGCAGGCCTTGGTTCAGGAAAGTGGGCGGAGTGGGATGAT